AGTTTGATTATGTTTGTTGAGGTTATAAACTACTTGTAGAGCGGCAAATTTTATATCCTACTATAGAGCTGCAAGTAGATGCAAATTTTTATCAGATTGTTTAGTTGTATACTAATTGTTTGGTTGTATACTATTTGGTGTATATTAGATATCAAATTGTTTATTGTTACACTAGTGTTTTTTTTAAAGAATGTTATACTAGTTATATCCTACCAGAGAGTTGACATTAGTGTATATGTACTTATTCGTAGATGCAGCTTTTTTATAAATTCAATAATGTTAATTGCATATATAGAATGTTTGATTATTGTGTACTAATTACATATATTGTATATTTGGATGCAGTTAAAAATAAATAAACTTGTAGAGCAACGTGAACAAGGGGGAATCAATATGACAGATGAAGAAATTTATGCAAAAGTTAAACCCAAAGGTAAAAATGGTCGTGATCGTGGAACGGGAGTTAGCCCATCCATTACTTCATTGTTTGGGTTGTCTAGTGAAGGAGAGAAATTGCGCAAAGAGGCTGAAGAGGCAAAGAAGGAAGCTAATGAGGCTAAAAAAGAAGCTCAAGAAGCTAATGCAAAAAATAAAATGCTCACTAAGGAGGTGAAAAACTTCAAAAAAGAAGTAAGAATAATGAAGGGTGTTATGGGGAAGTTTTTCAACCTTATGGGAGGCGATTTTTCAAAGTTATTTTTGAATGAGGTAATTTATTAGTTTATTTTTCATTATTTTCAGTTTATATTTTTTTTTAGATTGTGAAAATACTTGTCTACCGTTATTATGTGATAGGTTGAAAAGGAGTATAAAAAAGTCCATGATGATGATAGTAGTGATGGTGATGATGATGATGATGATGATGATTGTGATGGTGATGATGATGATGGTGATCGTGATGATGATGATGATGATGATAGTGAAGCTGATGATGAGGAATGATCTTTCTAAAGCATTTATTTAAGCTTTTAGACATACTTTGTCCCATCTTAATGTTTTAGTATTTGCTAAATTAACTCTAGCTAGTTAGTTTCCATTTTTCGTAACTTGTGAAGGTACATATGAGTTTGAACAAACTATGTAGTGGTGCACCTGCTTTTGAAGTAATTAATTTAAACTAAATTTTGAATTTTTAAATTCTACGAAGCAAGCATTTACTTACTTTGTTGATGCATGCTATTAGCACTAATGTATGTATATATTTATATATCTAAACTACAACGAACACCGTATTCTATATTAATATACGACAAAATGACAATATTAATATACGACATAATGACAATGATATATGGTTGCCTCTAAAAATCATCCACAACAATACTAAAAGTTGCCTCGCAATATTATTTATAGCACAATGTAATATAGCCTCTAAAAACATTTTGAGTCATTAAATGCGTTTGACTCTAATGGCATTATAAGACAACATAACATGGTTGCCTCGAATGACATTTTGAGGTGAAAGGATATGGTTGCCTCTAAATATGACTTTTTAGAAGCACATCCTTTGTTGCCTCCAAAGGAGGTTTTTAGAGGCAAACACCATTTAGCGACCGAATTTTTGTTGGCAACCACAAAATTGCCTCCAAAAACCATTAGGGGCTATTTTCTTATATTTCGAGGCAATTATGTAATGCCTCTACAAACCAATTTTATTGTAGTGTAATATTGAACACATTGAAAATGAGTTTCATGTAAAATTGAAATGAGTATAACACCCAAAATGAATGAGCATACTCAAATGAGTTTTTTGAACGCTCATTTCGTAATTTATGTATACTCATTTGATATTAGTACAATACTCTTTTTAAAATGTCATATTCATGCATATTTCAAAATGAGTTTTAAGTTAAATTCAAATGAGTATTATGCCCAAAATGAATGAACACACAAAAATGAGTTTTTAATATTTTGATACTCATTTTGTAAATTATGTATGCTCATTTGGTATTGTTTTATGCTCATTTTAAAATGATGCACATATCAAATATACGCCCAAAATCAATGAGCATACACAAATAAAGTTTTGAATTTTTTTAATACTCATTTTATAAATTATGTATGCTCATTTGGTACTGTTTTATGCTCATTTTAAAATGATGCACATATCAAACATATCATACTACATTAGATTCACATATTGAAATTAATTATAAACATAATTTAAGATTTTTAATTTTTATAAATGAAAAAATCATAAAAAGAAACCGAATTAGAAAATATGAAACAGAGATCACTGGTACTCATTGTTAGGCTTTTAATACTCAGAAGAACAAGCTCGATGCTCATCAAAATTACATCAATGCTCATTTACGAGAAACCACGAACTTCATGAAAATTACAAAACTGCCACCCGGCTGTACGGTGCCAGCCGTACAGCCGGCTGTATGGTATACGCTTTCATATGTAGTGCATTTCTTATAAATAATACTCTCCTGCATGTACTTTTTAACATGTAAGAATTGCATTTTTCACATATTCATAAATTAAATTAATTTTATTGCAACTTTTGATTATTCAAAAGTTTGTCCTATAAAAAGAAAATATGAGGAAAATTTCGATTCAAACCGTGAGTGCAAAAATCCAATAAGGAAATATGACATACTATTTAATGTAATTAATTGTATTGATTGTGAGAGAGTAATTCACTTTCCTTAAAAGTAGGAAGTCATCCGCAATTGGAGTAACGTGCAAGACCATATTTCATATAGCTTGACATTAATACCGTAACGTGCAAGACCATATTTCATATAGCTTGACATTAATACCCTTGTAATGAATAACTGTTGAGGCTCTCCTTTCAAATCAATGGGGTTTTGTCTAAAATATTACTAAAAAAGAGCTATGGACAAAAAAGTGGCTCTTTTCCCAAATTCCCAAAAATAAGACTAAAAAGTGATTAGGAGACTATTATACCCCTATTAGTCCTACAGTAACGTCATAGTGACCAGTGACACCATAGTGACCAAAATCTGTCAGTGACCAAAATCCGCTAGTGACCAAAATCCCAAAAAATTATTAGTGACCAAAAATCCAAAATTCACTAGTGACCAAAAATCATTAGTTACCAAAAATTGCGCCCTATAACAAAGTGACTTCCGCCCCTTCAGTACCAACGTTCGTATGTCCAGTGACCAACGTTCGCCTGTCTAGTTACAGTTACTTAACCTAATCAGTTACAGTTACTCAACTCATCTATTCTTATTTATTCAATTTTACCAGTTATAGTTACTCGATTCGATCAATTAGAAATATCATACCCGATCAATTACAATTACAGTTACAAACAGTCCAACAACAGTTTTTTCAAGCAAATTTGTGATAACACCGCCATCTACCGTCATGGCCACCGTGACATGAGCACCACACTCACTCCGGCGGCCAGCATCCCCGACCCGTCTCTAATCGAAATCCCAAACCACAGCCCTCAAACAGTCAAACCTCCCCACTGCTGACCACCGCCCCAGCCCCCTCCCAACACCCATCCACCTCCCCCGCCCTCCTCTGTAGCCCCCAACACCGTTTCCAGCTCGAGCCCCAACCAGCCCAACCCTGATCCGTCCTTCCCTAGCCCCACCTCCGACCAGCACAGCTCCAACCATCAGCAAATATAACCCTAGCCACCATCCTCCCCAACATTTTTTTGCCGACGTCATCATCGAATTTGCACAGTAATTTCAGATCTGCGAATTCCGGACAGAAGAAAGGAGGAGAAGATGAAATCTTAAGTGAACAATGGATGTTCGCGGTGGTCCAAGCTTCTCGCCACTTGGTCCGAGTTCGTGTCCGCCGGTGGTCCGAGCTTCTTGCCACTGCTTTGAGCTCTTGTCCGCCGGTAGTCCACGGTGAGAGTGTTGCCAACATCATCGATGAAGTTTGCCTTCCCCAATCCATGAGCTCCTCCAACGACGGCGGCTGTCCATCGGCCCTCTGAGCAGCTTCGACGAAGAAGAAAGTTGAAGGAGAACGGCAGATTGCGGACATAATAAAGGAAAAGAAGACTGAGTAGTTGCGGAGGCGAGAGCTGCGCTTGCTGCCGTGGAGATCCGCGCTTGCGGCGTTGGAGATCCGCGCTTGCGGCGGTGGAGATCTGCGCTGGAGGAGACCTGCGATTGGGGAGTTCTACGCTGCAGGAGGTGTCGATGGAACAGAGTCGCAGACGGCTTGAGTAGAAAGACTTGATTGGGCTGATTTAATTAAGGGCATTGCAGTCCATTTGTCAATATTTACTCTCGTTTTTGTCTAATTTAAAACTTGAGATTATTTTTGTCATTTGAAAGTCCCCAAATAATACTTTAGTCATTCTTTCCAAATCAATTCCATTTAGCCGAAAATTGTGTTACTTAAACCTCGACCAACATTTTTGTGTTCATTAGATGAATGAAATCAATGGATAGATTATGTTCTTATTAATCTCATGAGACTCCGTTCTCACCAGAACTAATCTATATATATATATATATATATATATATATATATATATATATATATTTCCTAGAGTTTTAATGTAATGCATCAATTTTTATTCTCTAAATGTCTTTATCATTTGAAGAAACTATAATCAAGAGTAATTCCTTTAAAAAGTACTTTTTCATTTTGAGTGTTATATTATATTAGATATGCATTTTGTGTTTGAATGTTTTTGCATTTTCAATTACACATAGCCACATTTCTCATGCCTCCTATTTTTCACCACTCTTGAAATTAACAATATAAACTAATAAGGTATTTTCAATCTATTTTTCCATGCGAAGGTACTTTTTATTTGATCAAAAAGCTATACACATGTGTCCACAACTCCACACGCATATTATACATACTCATTTATAATAGGATCTTTGTATAATAAGTAAACTACATTTCGTCTAGTGATTAGGCATAATGAATATTTGAGAATTAATAGAAGTTTGCTTTTCAAAATTCAAAACTTTTTTTTATTCATTTTTGGAAATAACAGTACTTATTTTGCTAATATGTGATAATAAAAATAATAATTGAGTTTGAAAACGGAATACATAATAACACGCATTGACACAACAAAATTTAGAAAAGAAAAAAGCAAAATGGAAACATCTAAGATGACATTATTTAGATATCATTGAATGTAGTTTCCCATGCATCAACATTCAACAGAAGAGCTAAGAAAGACTGTTGTAAATAATATAGATCTGATGACAGCAACACATCAAATAGCCATGGAATGGAAGAGCTTTAATTGTTAAAGCCGCTAGTTCCAGGTTGAGTCGGATCATTTTGGTCGTTGTTGTTGTTTCTATTCATCATGTTCATATGCTGAGCCCAACCCTCATAATTCCACCCTACCAGAGAAGGCGGCGGTTCCACAATATTATTGTTCATTGGAAAAATGGGATTTGGGATGACAATATTGTTCATCATGTTTTCGGGAACTTGACGATAGTTGACCGTGCCTGCCACTGCCTCTGCCAAATCAGCCCCAACAACTGATGTTGAGGTACTAGCACCGTCCATGTTATTACCCTTTAAGGTCTCAATCCGCTTATTAATCTCCGCCAAATGTAAGTTAATGACCCAACCCAAGTCGTTCAAATCGGCAACATCCAACGACCTATCGATCTGCTCCCCGGCGAGGATTTTGTACATGAGCGTCGTCATCTCCTTCTCCCGATTCTCCTTCTTCAGCCTGAGAATAGTAGTGTTGAGCTTTTGAATCCTCTCATGGACAAAACTCTCTTGGTTCGTCATCCTTCTGGTTCGCTCTATATCAGGAAGGCTCCTGAACATAGTCACCGTGTGTTGCACGCCTTCTGCCGATGGCCACACTACTGGCTCCGGTTCCAGAGAGCTGTACATGATAGTGCATGCCTCTACGCTGCACAAGATTGTCAGCTCTTCAAGCTTCTTCAACAATCCCTTCTTTCTCTTTTTATACGAAGCTTTCCTTTGGGATTCATTGGTGATATAGGTCAACCTAATTTTTCTTCTTGCCATGGTAGTGTGAAGATATTGAATTAGGTTTTGATGATTCTATATTGTACATAGAGATAAGACTCTATTTATATAGATAATGTAATAGGAATGACAAAAGTTGGTAACATTTTGTGTTAAAGTACGAAGCAATTAAAATTTGGTTACTAGGTTGTTGTCATTGAATTGATATGCATGCATGTTTTCATTAATTGATTACTATTATAGCATTCCTCGTTTGAAAACGTTGTCGTTAAGTCAAGGTACGGATACTACAACCTTGACCACTGAAGTGTCATTAATTTATACGACAAAGATAATTAATAAGTGTCGCAAGTTCTTAATTCGATCCGCTATATATATATATATATATATATATATATATACATACCGCTATATATATATATATATATATATATATATATATATATATATATAATCAGGGTTGAAACTCACTCCATTGAGTTTCAAACCCTTATGTGCCTAGCGGGTTTCGAACTTGAAACCTCCCGCTAAGCACGGTAACCTCACAACCAGCTGGGTTTAAATGCTTGGTTAAACTTTATGTGTGTGTGTAGGGAGCGGATCAGGTTACAAATGCTCTTAGGCTGAGAACTGCGAAGTTAAACTTATAGACTAAATATATGAACTTTTAACCGATAAATCATAATTTATAGACCCCTCCAAAATAATTACGAAAATGCCACCGGAAAAAAATAATCATGGAAACCTGGAAAAAAAATTGACGCTGTGGCATTTTCGTAATTATTATGGAGAGTTTTATAAGTTATGATTTATTGGTTATAAGTTCCTATATTTAGTCTATAAATTTACTGCGTTGTAAGATCAGATGCAAATCCAAGGGCTAAGATTACTTCTCACTTCTCATTCTAAGGGGCACTTCTCACCTGATCTTTTCAATATATATATATATATATATATATTAAGGATCATATACAAATTCATTCTAATTTACAAAATGCAAACTAATCAGAGCCATTCATTCCCTTTGATCTCATGTGCGATGAATATAAGATGAGGTCATTTAACTTATGAAGTTGAGGGGTTTGAAAGTCTTTTAGCCTTGTATTAATTTTGGAAAGAAATCACGATCTTTTTATTTTCGCTCTGGAACATGCGTATCTCTTCTCCATCCTCACTCTGCAACATAAACATCTCTTCTTCATCTCCATGTTCATCGTCATATCTATCTCAATCACCATTCCCATCCCCATTAATTCCCATCCCCATCCCCATCCCCTCTCCATCTCTATCTCCATCTTCATCTCAAATTTAATAAGTTTGATTGGTTTTCTTCTATTTAAACGTCATGGACTCCAGGACCTATGACAAGAACATTAGTTCTTGGACATCTTGGATTCCGACATCGCTATGGAATCAAGTGTGCAGGCCGGATTTTTCTATTTTGGTTTTCCTTTTTATATCAATTCAATAATTTCGTATTTATGTAATGTCCTTGTGATTTTTGTATGCAAAATTTCACCATTCAGAAGATGTTTCTCATATATTTTGTATGCATGTTAGCTGAGTGCACGATGCAGATTTTATAACGTTAAGATGCAGCAAATGATCTTCTACAATGCACATCTTATCTTCCTAAAATGCAATATACAATCTTGTTAGGTCCCTGTTTTCTAATCTAGAATATGTATGTATGGAAGATAGATCTGGGAATGAAGCTTTCCATTGAATGATGAAGAAGTTTACAGAATGATGAACAATTTAGCGTAAAACTTCTATCACCGATTTAGGCACTGCGGCACTAGGAATGTTTTTAAAAGCTTAACCTAGCCTTTCCCTTAAGGCATATATATAGCCTGACGGGAAAGGTAGGTTTTACAATCATTTGGGCTCCTTTTCCTAGGAGGCCCATACCTAAAAAGGTATAAAACCTTTATTACATAATTGTCTTAAAAGGCCTATTCATTATTCTAGCTAATCTATTAAATTAAGATGCTAAATATAAAGAGCTAAGAAACATTGATCACAATATAATGAAAATATCTCTAACAATCTCCCCCTTTGTGATCAGATGTTCTTGCTTCTTCTTTTCTTCACTTCTGAGCTTTAAAATAATGCTTTCTGAGATTTAGTGCATGCTCGTAATTTCTGAGAGATCTTCTTCTGTCAAGTTGTTTCTCGATGGCTTTCAACACTTTGTCAATTCTGGTTGCTTCTGTTAGTTCATCGTCTGTGGCATCTGCATACTTCTGTTGTTTTTCTTCAAATTCTTTTCTGATAGGTTGCAGTTTTTCCTTAATGATCTTCAGTGTTCCATCACAATACTTGTTGACTTCTTCTGCCACCAACAAGCGCCTCTCACCTTTATGGTTAAGATAGATGATAGCTAACGGGCGATCGAAGATGTAATAGGCAGGATAGTTCTCAAGTTCTGGCCCGTAAAGCTTTGGTCTTGAGAGGTTTGTCTTTGGCAGATTTGTTTCTAGGGCCATCTGAAGATCATGGGAAGCAAAGAATTTGGCTTGTCTGATCATGAAGCGCTTGAGTGCCTTGAATCCCTCTTGTGTAGATTTGTCCCAGGTGACTGGAATTTCCTGGAAGGCTAGATACATATGATAGATGTCATCCATCTTTAACATATAAAGGTCATTTTCCTTGCAGGTAAATTCCGTCCCGTCGGAGCGTTGCAGGCGGTAAACAGAGAGTGGGATGTCTTGATAATTTATTTCGGCTACATTTAGTATACTCCATACTGGGTCTTTCGCGTTTTGCAGTTCATGTTGCCATACTTCTCTCTGTTTCCCCATGTAATGATGACTAAGCAGAAACAATTGACCACTCTTGTTCTTTCCTCTCAGATGATTGAGTCCACAGATTTTCAATTCGTCCAATTCCTTGACTTCGTCATCTTTCCGCCATATACGCTTTCTGATTTCCTCTTGGAAAGGAGCATTGATGTTAATATTCTCCCAAGGCTTTTCACTCCTCGGCATTCGAGCCGCTGTTTGTCTGATGATGGATTCCAGCTCCTTGGGAGGTTCCTGATAGTTTTCTCCTTCCTTAAGTTCATCATCATTAAGCAGTATTACATCAGCAGCACATTTAGCTAGGAGCTCTCTGAGATAGGCTCTTCGCTGTATTTCATCCACATTCGTCCATAGCCGAGACCATTTGTTGTGAACAAGAATTTCTTCGAGTTCGTCATGCATTCGATCATCAGGTTGGCTAGAGGGAGTCTGCTGTTGTTGTGGCGCTCTGTCAATGGTAACACCGGGATCACTTGGATTACCCGTTATCATCAGATTAGAACTAGGTTCTTTCTGATGGCCTGAATAAAAAGGTGTACTTGAAGTAGCAACCTCAGGACTTCCACTCCATCCTTGGTCTACATCTATGAAAGATGAGCCTAGGAGTGTTGTTTCTAGCTCGACCGGGCTAGATGTGGGTGAGTTGGCTGTTTGGCTTTTATGTTGAGTGGATGATGGGGGCTGATTGTTCGAGGATTCAGGTTGGTTGGATTGCGTAGAGGGTTGGCTTGTTGACGCATCACGCTCAAGTATCCTTTGTCTCTTGTTCTCCCCCTCATGAGGATCCGAGTCATCGGGGTCCTCATGCGAACGTTTGCGACCAAGGAGACTATCACGGCATGAGCTGTCAGGCTTAAGGATCCGAAGAAGGTCTTTTTGTTTCTGGGTTAGGTTGCCTTCTTCGGTAGCATAAGGGTTTCGAGTACCTCGAACGGTAAAGTTTTAGGGTCAGGAAAAGGTGTGGTCGAAGTAGGGGAGGACACTAGTTCTGTATCCTGGGTTCCCCTTGAAGCAGTAGGTGAGTGGGGTAGGGTTGTGGATGGTTCAGAGGTTTGTTGGGTAGGTATGATAGGAAGTGGTTGGGTTTGTTGGGTATGTGAGGAGGTTGGTTGGGGTTGGATGATGTCATTTAGCAACGCCGGGGTGTTCCTGAATTCCTGTGCCCGAGCGGTTATTGCTTCGTGCACCCATGGTTTAATGGTGGAATCCATGAAACGTTGCAAAATGACAGAAATGTAATACTCGAGATTAATTTAAGAGGATTAATAGTACTACTCATACCAACAAGGTGCATCTCCTTTTAAGGGAGCTCATTAGCCAAGAACTCCAAAGTTAAGCGTGCTTGCACGGGAGTAGTCTTGGGATGGGTGACCCCCTGGGAAGTTTCTCAGGGCGCGCACGAGTGAGGACAAAGTGCGCGTAAAAGGCTAGTGGCGGTTTGTGAGGACAGTACTATTGGTCCGGAGTAACTACCTCGGGTCCTGCGGGGCCGGGGTGTTACAGGTGGTATCAGAGAAACCCTGCGACAGTGTGTTGATCCGTTGGATATCGGGCGGGCACTTAGCAAGGGGAAAGATTCTGGGGTGTGATTGAGATTTGTTTAAGGGCGCAACGAGGACGTTGCGATCCTAAGTGGGGGTGATTGTAATACTCGAGATTAATTTAAGAGGATTAATAGTACTACTCATACCAACAAGGTGCATCTCCTTTTAAGGGAGCTCATTAGCCAAGAACTCCAAAGTTAAGCGTGCTTGCACGGGAGTAGTCTTGGGATGGGTGACCCCCTGGGAAGTTTCTCAGGGCGCGCACGAGTGAGGACAAAGTGCGCGTAAAAGGCTAGTGGCGGTTTGTGAGGACAGTACTATTGGTCCGGAGTAACTACCTCGGGTCCTGCGGGGCCGGGGTGTTACAGAAAGGTCGGTAGGGTCAGGGTGTCCGGTTACAGGGGTAGTAACCGTTGTCACAGCATCAGTAAAGATTACCGATGTGTGGCCTGCAGATAATGATGGAGATATCTGTTGAGCAGCAGGACTTCCGATCATCATTGACGTATCTCCGATCGTTGAGGACAAGTAGAGTGCACCTGTCGTGTGCAGTGGTGTGAAAAGTGTATGTGTCCTAGAAAATGTTGAAAAAGTTGGGATGGTGGAAACTAGACTCAATGTGCTAGAAGGAGGGGTAGTGGTCTGGGGCGGAAGACCACAAAGTAAATCCTCAGCTGCTTCGTAGGGAGACAGCGAGGTGGGTATAATATCCCCTATATGTGAAACTACTACCTGTTGGGAGGCAGCAGAGTGGCTTGGTGAGGCTTGTGCATGCGCAGTTGGGCTAGATGCTGCGTCTTCTACTCGGAAACTGAAAATATCAGTTTCTGCACCTATGGGGTTAGCCCGGTTTATTGTGTCTAGGTCAGAGCAGCTGTCATACAAAGCTAACTCTTCTGCCAGGTTGCTTGCGGTTTGCACTCTTTGCACAGGAGTAGATGATGAGGCAAGGTCATGACGCACCTTGGAGCGAGTCTCACTGATGATATTTCCTTGAGTGTCCTTGATTTGGTGAGACTGCTCTTGTGTTGTAGCCCGAGAAAGCCTGATAACGAGTCGTCCTTTCTTAGCGCGGGCTTTCTCGACTTTCTTGCCCTTTGCATTGGCATTGTTATCATCCTCATCATCATCATCGTTGTCTTCCTCAGCCTTGCTCCCAGAGCCCTCATCGTCAGCGTCTTGTGTTGTGGCTACGCTTGGCGAATCACGGGTAGTCTCTTCAGCACGGGGGTGGCCCTCAGCAGACATAGTCTGATCATCATGGGGCCGGCTTGCCACTGGTCTCTGTGGCCGGGTTGAACTCTCAGGACCCTCACTTACTCTCGGCTGACTCCCCGGGGTAGGCTCAGGGGGGTTTATCTGAGCCATAGGGAGTATGATACCATTCTCCTTACTGTAGCGTATGACATGTGGATCATTTCGCCCAGCTAACAGGAGGAGAGGAACAGGAATAGGTAATGGTACCAATGTGCGTACCTCTGGCATTCTCTTCAAGTATTGGAGGGCTGGAGTGCTGACATTCTCAGACGATTTGCGTCTTTGAATAGTAGGAATTGTTCTGCAGAAGTGTCGCACCAGCAGGGAGAACCATCTCATGTATGGTAGATGTTTGATCAGATTAGTGTCGAATTTCCTTCTCCTCATCTCCAAGAACTCACTCCAAATTAGAGCAGCATAGTTATATTGCTTCATGAAGGCGATCCCATGGAAGATATACACAAGGTAAGCACTGCACTTGTCGAATCCAGTGTGCTTGGAAGTGCAGCACTTATTCAGAGTAGCCATCAGTGTCCTCCATGGGCGCGGCAAGCGAGCCGTCTTGATTTCTGACATCACGTGGAGAGGCTGTGCGTGGCCAAGAGTGATCATGTCGGCGATTACTTGTGCCTCTGGGACCAACGCGTCATAATGTTCCTCCTCCGGGATTTGTAGCACTTGTTGGACCAGCTCCTTGTGATTGTGACTCTGGTGTTGCAGATTGTGGCAGCTAGGACGTCATCGATTTGCCTGCCATTAGCATCCACGTCCTTATCAAGTGTACCCCAGAATTGTTGGAGATACACCTGAGGGACCTCAGCGTTCTTGCTCAGTGCCTTCCACAGCTTGTGTCCTTTCAGAATGGAGACCACGACGTCATCTTGACAAGAGAAGACTTCTGGGTCCAGTTGTGAGTTATTCTCCTTGATCGGGATCCAGTGTTCCCTAGCATAGATCATGTTGATTGGAGTGTTGGCAGCCATCTCAATCTGAAAATGTTAAACAGATTAGAGCATATGATCGAAAATGGCTAAGTCCACAACTTGTCTCTCACTTGGGCCCTTTATTGTTGTTTTTTTTTTTTGAAAGTGGGGCCCAATTTAAGAATGGATATTGCACTTGGTCTGATTTGGGCCTGGACTTAATTATGTTTTGGCCCAATTAAAATTTCCACTAAGGGTTTGGTCCAGGTTGGGCTGACTTAAATTCGTTCAGCCCATCACAATTGAGCAAGTGTAATCGCGCAGGCCCATATGGATCACGGGGCTAAATCACGCAAGGGTCATTGTTCACACCCCTCATCAGATCGCGCAAACAGGCGGATATCGCACAACATGGTCAGATTGCGCAGGGAGCATATCACGCAACCTTAATCGCGCAAGACTTGGGATCGCTCAAGCCAGGCAAATCGCGCAAGCATGGCAGATCGCGCAAGATCTATTTTCGCCCAACCTGTTCAAACGCGCAAGGTATTCGAATTGCGCACTCCAACAGATCACGCAACTAGTAATCGCGCAGGGGTGTGAAACGCGCAAGTCTATCAGATCGCGCAGATCTGGAGATAGCGCAAGGACAAGGATCGCGTATCTCTCAGATCGCGCAAGGCCTGTTGTTCGCGCAAGTGGTCGAATCGCGCAAAGGACCTGTTCGCCGTCTTCTGAACCTGTTCATCATCATCGTAGTAGCATCTGTTCATCTAAACCTGTGAGTCAGTCAAGAAATATTCAAGAATGGGAGCTTACATTTTGGAGAAGATCGAAAGCTTTGAGGGAGAGAGAAGATGCGAGATTTGGAAGGGGAATTGCAAGAGTTTCGCGCAAAGGAAAGACATGGGAAGGGAAGTTGCGCGTTTCGCAAGTTTAAATAGGCCCGGGAGAATTTTCAAAGTTTAACGGGCCCATTGCTGTCTGATTTCAAATTTAAGATTGCTCCCCCTCAACACTTGCTTCCCTTTTGAAATGAAAATTTTAGCAAACTCCCCCTCAATTTATACATAATTTTGAAAAGCTCCCCCTCGATTTACGAACAATTTAGAAAAGCTCCCCCTCAACTTATGCATTGAATAAAAATGATGCATGAAAAAATAAAAGGAAAACATGCAATAAAAAGAAAAAATGATGCATGAGAGAGAGAAAAGAAAATGTGATGCAAAGATGACTAAAATGCAAAACATGAAAGCACACGCACACACACAGTTCAGAGGTTACTCATTCGTTCAGGTTCAGCATCCCTAGCTTAGAGATCAGAAAATTGAATCTCTTTTCATCCAGGGCCTTTGTGAAAATATCAGCCAGTTGCAAATCCGTAGACACAAAGTACATGTCCACGGTGCCTTTCTCAACGTGATCCTTTATGAAATGATATCTGAGATCAATATGCTTCGTCCGTGAATGATGGACAGGATTGCACGTGATGGCTATCGCACTTTGAGAGTCACTGTAGATCGGGATGTGTGAGAATGTGAACCCATAGTCTTTCAGCTGGGTCCTCATCCATAATATCTGTGAGCAACAGCTAGCAGCCGCGACATATTCTGCCTCAGCTGTAGAAGTGGACACACAATTCTGCTTTTTGGAGGACCAGCATACTAACTTGTCACCAAGAAATTGAGCACCGCCAGATGTACTCTTTCTGTCCAATTTGCAATCCGCGAAATCAGCATCTGAGTATCCAACAAGGTCAAAGCCTGATTCCTTGGGATACCAAAGGCCCAGATTGACTGTTCCTTTGAGATATCTCAGTATTCTTCTAACAGCATTCAGATGTGATTCCTTAGGATTGGCTTGAAAGCGGGCGCATAGGCAGGTTGCAAAGACAATGTCTGGTCTGCTAGATGTAAGGTACAGCAAGGAACCAATGATAGCCCGATAATTGGTAGCATCGACTGGTTTCCCGGAAGGGTCAGAGTCGAGCTTCTGTGAGGGAGACATGGGGGTCTTCATCGTCGACTTGCTGTCCATTTTGAAGCGCTTTAGCATATCGTGGATGTACTTGGACTGATTTATGAATATTCCGTCTGGCATTTGCTTGATCTGAAGCCCCAGAAAGAAGTTCAACTCTCCCATCATACTCATCTCGAACTTGGTGCGCATCAGATTGCTGAACTTTCTACAGAAATTTGGATTTGACGAGGCAAAGATGATGTCGTCAACATAAATTTGTATCAGCATGATGTCACCCTTGTGTCTTTTGATGAAGAGAGTTGGATCTATCTTTCCCTTCGAGAAGCCTGATTCTACAAGAAAATCTGACAGTGCTTCGTACCAGGCTCTCGGTGCCTGTTTCAATCCATACAGGGCTTTCCTCAGCTTATATACATGATTGGGGCGTTCAGGATCAACAAAGCCGTCAGGTTGTGCAACGTAGACTTCTTCTTTCAAATCTCCGTTCAGAAATGCTGTCTTTACATCCATTTGATACACTGTGAAACTCTTGTGTGCAGCATATGCTAGAAATAGTCTGATGGCCTCAATCCTTGCCACTGGTGCAAAGGTTTCATCGTAGTCGATTCCTTCTTGTTGATTGTAACCTTTTGCAACCAGGCGGGCCTTGTTTCTCACGATCACACCGTCCTCATCCTTCTTGTTCTTGAATACCCATTTGGTGCCGATAATGGTTTTCTTGTAAGGCCTTGGCACCAGGGTCCATACTTTCAATCTTTCAAACTGGTTCATTTCTTCCTGCATTGCAATCACCCAGTCCGGATCAGTCAATGCGTCAGTCATCTTTGTTGGTTCTTTCTGACTCAGAAAACATGAGTATAAGCATTCATTGACTGATGTCGTTCTGGTTCTGACTCCTTGAGATGGATCTCCAATTATCAGCTCTGGCGGATGTGCTCTTGTCCATTTCCTCTCATGTTGTAGAGGCTGTGGAGTTATGATTGGATGATCAGGGTCAGAATATTCTTGTTCTGGTTGTACTTCTGGGGTTTCTTGCGTTGCAGCTTCCTCAGTTTGATCATTAGCAGGAGTGTTTGGTTCTTGTTCAGCTTCATTATCTGTATGCTCATCATCATTCTGAGTAGGAGTGTTGGTTTCTTCAGTGGTTGGAGCAGGTAGCAGGGGGTTCTGAGTGGTTGTAGCATTTGTAGTTGGTGCTGCACGTGGTTGGCTGTAGAAGTGCTCAAAAAGAGAATCCAGAACCACATGCTCATCTGATCTTGTCTCACCTCCCTGCCCTCCTACTCCAGAAGATGATGGAGTTTCATTGTTTGCAGAGGTTGATGGTTCAGAATGAAAATGTTCAGAAGCCAAGTCCGCCATTTCATAGAAGCTCACATTGATGCTCTCCATGACGGTTCTTCTGTCCTTCAAGTATACTCTGTACGCCTTGGAATTGGTAGAATACCCAATGAATATCCCTTCATTTGCTTTTGGATCAAGCTTCCCCCTAGCATCCCTGTCATTCATAATGTAGCATTTACAGCCGAAGACGCGGAAGAAGGCAATGTTAGGGAGCCGCTTGAACACAATCTCATAGGGCGTCTTGTCAAATCTTTTGTGGATCACCGTCCTGTTCTGTGTAAAGCAAGCCGTGTTGATAGCTTCCGCCCACATGAAGTGAGGAAGCTTTGACTGTATCAGCATGGTTCTGGCTGCTTCCACCAAGGTTCTGTTCCGTCGTTCTACAACACCGTTCTGCTGTGGTGTCTTAGCTGCAGAGAACTGTTGAGTAATTCCCTGAGCTTCATAGAATTCGGTCAGTTCCTTGTTCTTGAACTCCGTCCCGTTGTCAGTTCTGATAATCTTCACATTCTGCTGTAGATAGTTCTGTATGGTCCTGATGAACGTCATGATTAAGTTTGCAGTTTCGTCCTTGGAGCGCAAAAACTTGGTCCATGTGTAGCGTGAGTAGTCATCCACAATTACCAAAGTATATTTGCGTCCACTGATGCTATGCACGCGCATCGGACCACACAGATCCATATGTAGTAGCTCCAGGGGACGAGATGAGGAGGGAAATTGTTTTGACTTGTGTGATGCTCTCCTCATCTTTCCCAAATGACATGCAGAACAATGATGGTTGGGGGAGTTCTTCAGAACAGGCAGTCCTTTCACCAACTTCTTCGAGGAGAGGGAACTGATGGCTGGCAGATTCAAGTGTGAGAGACGTCTGTGCCATAGGCTGCTTTGTTCTTCTGATGCTTTGGACAGGAGACAGATGGATATGGGGGATCGTACCGATTTCAGATCAATGGTGTAGAGATTGGTTTTCCTCTGACACCTTAATAATGGTGTCCCACCCATATCCATCACACAACATTGCCTAGCATGGAATCTCACTTCCATTCCATTGTCACAAAATTGGCCGATGCTAAGCAAGTTGTGTTTCAGTCCCTGCACATACGACACATTTCTGATAGTGACGCTCTCACAAATGACATCTCCTATCCCGAGTATGGGCGATGAAGCATTGTTCCCAAACCTCACATTTCCTCCAAACCTTTCAGAATAGTTGCTCAGTAGTTCAATCTGTCCAGTCATGTGTGACGAGCAACCCGAATCAAGATGCCACACATGACTGACCTGCAAAACAGATTAGTTTTGCTTAGGTACCCATCGCCAGATGGGTCCTTCCTTATCAACAGTGAGCAATTGTTTCAACTTCTTTTTGATTTGGGATCCTAGGCTGGCTGTTTGAGAAGAGTTTTTCATTTTTAATTGTTCTGCTTCAGCCTTAGGAACCCATTTTTGTTTGATTTGTTTTATTTTTGGAGCGAGGGAACTTTCATTTGTCCTAAGTGATTGTTCAGATAAATGATCTTTCAAAATTGGTTCACATGATAGCCTTTTCAGATGTTTGACTGAGTGAATCTTGAGAGGATACCTTAAAAATGGCAATTTGACCTCACTCTCAACATTCACCCTATCAATCTTGGGCTTATTCACAACATTCTTAACAGTCACAGGATCTTTTGCTTTGCAAGAAGAAACAGACTCAGAACAACAACATTTCATTGATTTCATGCAATTCAGAGAAACACATTTAGTACAGCGATTCGAGACAGAAATCTTAGAACTAGAAGACTTAGGAGCCACTCTCTTAGCATAACTAGTAGATGGCTCACTAATGCTAGAACTAGACTTATTCTTAACATAAAATATGGCGCTCGACCGTTGACACTTATTTCTTAATCTCGACTCTTCTTCTCTCTTCTTCCTTCTTATTTTGTCTTCAATCCACTCTCCTTTCTTCTCGACTCTCTTCTTCACATCTTTCCCTGTCGGAGAATGAGACTTGGGGTGAGAAGGAGAAGTCTTAAAACTATCGCTTGAATTTTCAGAAGTGTTTTCAGAAGTAGAAGGGGAAGAGGGTTGAGAAGCTGTGTTAGACTGAGAGGCGGTTTTCAAAGAAGATATTTCTTTTAAAAGTTCATCCTTTTCTTTTTCTAAAACCTGCTTTTCCTTTTCAAAAGAATCTTTTAACTCAGCAAACTTTCTCACCAACGGTGGAATGTAAGCTGGTTTCTCAATTGGTTCAGAAGTGGAAGCCTCCTCTCCGTCTTTCACAACTTCCTTTTCAGGAGGATAGGTCAAGATTTCTTCAGCTGGGGTCAAAGGGAGTGCTTTGGTTTTGTAGCTCTTGTTTAACTCTGTATAGTCAAAAGGAACCTCAACACCAGCCTTTGTCTTTCTCTTTTCATCCTCAAGGGCATTCGTTTCTTCAGCACCAGTGAAGGCCATGAGTTTGGTCAATCCTATTTTCATGTATCTAACATCATAGAGTTGTCTACAGTTGACCTTTTTCAGGTTCTGAGGATTGGTCAAACCCAAGCCTTCTTTGGCGTTATAGAAACGAGTGTCCTTAGGCTGGTTAAGGAAAATAGTCTGGTCTGTTTGGTCCCTCTTAGCTAACAGGTCTTCGAGTTCTTTGATTTTAGTATACAGAGCACCCCTTCTTTCCATTAGCAAATTATTGACACCAAAAAGCCTAATTCTTTCTTTTTCAGTTGTTCTAAGCTTTTCTGTCAACTCTTTCTCACTAGCACTAAGTCGCTTATTCTCAGTTGTGAGTTTAGTGATTGTTTTCTCTGAATTGATTATCTTAATGTTTGAGCATGTCTGTTTTTCACGCAATTGATTATAAACCTCATACAACCTTTTGTAATTCACCTCAAGCTCCGTAAATTTATCATGCATATCTGTTCTAGAGCAGTTATGAATAGATGAATTAGAGGTACTTACTTCATTGTCAGCATTTCTGTTCTCAGCAGTCAGGGCAGTCGCTTCATCAGCATTGGTTGCAGTAGGCAGGTTCTTCTTCTCCTCAGCTTTGTCTTTCTCCTTTTCATCAGCAGCAGGGGTTGACTTCATCTTTCCTTCCTTCTCAGCATCCTTCTCTTTCTCTTCTTCTTCAACAACCGCCATCAAGGCCAGATTCTCTTCCTCATCAGAATCATCCATCCAGTGATCCTTTTCAGCCATGAGGGCACTCTTCTCACAACTTTCTTCCATTGCCAGCAACATCTTCTTCTTGTTCAGATTCATCTTCTGCTTGTAGTACTCAGCATCCTTCTTCCTCTTAGGCATCCTGCAGTCCTTCATCAGATGTCCAGTCTTCCCACAATTGAAGCACTTTGGAGCATCCTCAGCAACAGTATTCTCAGACGATTCAAAAGATCACTCTTTTCTCTTGTGGTTGCTGGTAGAGGACTTGCGGAGCTTGTTGTTAGAAGAGTTCTTCTTTTTCTGCATATGATTATTGAACCTTGAGGTAAGAAGGGCTATCTGTTTCTGAAAATCATGCAGCTCATCATCATCTGAACCATTCCTAAATCCAATGTCACTGTCAGAACTTTCACTTTCTTCAACTATCATCTTATCCTTCTTGGAACCAGACTTTGAAGGCTTGTCAAGCATTAAGGCCAGGGTGTCAGCTAGTTTGTCCACAGCTCCCTTCCCTTTGTCAGCTGTCACAGTGGCTACCACAAAATCGGAGAAATCTTCAGCATATTGGTCAAGTGTGTTGTACACTGCATGTAACACCGCCCCCAAGTATTTGTACTTTATCAAATTATGTATGGAACCCAAGAAATGAATAAACGCATTTTACGTGATTGTGAAATTTTATCATTTCTTTTACGTGAATAGTAAAATTCACGTGGGGCCCACACCGGAAGTGGGGGCCGCCCGATATTATCGGGACCACATATTATATTCATTTGGGTCAAGATAATATGTGTATAATGGTGGATAGCCGGGTTGGGCCATAGAAGTTATGTGAGTAACCTTTTGGGCATATAAAGCCCATTTATCGGTACCGAAGTGATATCAGATAAAAAGCCATAATAAATTATGGAGACCATCAAATTAAAAGTTGGGGAATATACATTCAATCTAATGGCCAATAATAGTTGGAAGAATGATACACATTTCATTCGAACCGATAAAATGAAATATAGCTAAAACAGTCCAGAAAATACAACTTTCGGGACCAAGTGTACACTCGGGGACATAAAGGGATGACCCCCCACATGAGTGGGGGCCACCCCACGACCTTGAGCTGCAAAATATCAAGGGGATCCGCACCATATCAAGGGGAAAGAGGGTGGAAGTGATTGGAGACCAAGTTGATAGGAAAAGGGGTCCCTCTCCCCCATATTATTGATGAATGAGCCAAAAGAGCTATTCACAACCACCCCAGCCCCTGTCCCTCGTCCAGACCAGATGCATTGAGGAGAGAAGGTCTGCAAAAGACTCCATTTCATCCTCCATACACGCACCAAACCAAGAGGAAGAAGAAGGAGGATAAAAGAGAAGAGAAAAGAGGAGTTTCGGGTGGAGAAAGCTTGTGGTTAGCAAGGTAAGGACTTCATGAATCCCATTTCTTCTCCTTAATCATATTTCACACTCCTAGGATAGTTCTACACATGTAAAAGTGTAGAATGGGGGTTGAAGGGTTGGCTTATACCCAAAACGAACCTTGAGAGACAAGTTGACGGGTTCACCGGAAAATAACCTTCGGGAGGTTATTTGTGGTGATATGGGTTTTATGATGATAAAACCTTGTTATTAACTTGTATAAGGTACTTCAAGAACTTTCACGGAGTTGAAAGAGTTGCCGGAGTTGTCGCCGGAGTTCATTGAAGTTCACCGGAGTTTCACCGGAGCTCAATCGGGAAGGGCTAGAACTCCATAAGCTTCATTAAGGTGAGAAGACGGCTATATGCCTTATAACTCTTGATTGAGGCATGAGATTACCTAAAGTAATCAAGGATATGTTTTACGGAATGATTAAAGTTAATCAAGTATGAGCTTATGCCATGAATATATATAAAACAAAGTTGAAAGGCATGTTTGTATGTTTGGTGATTACAAATGTGATAACTTATTATGTACAATGATCCAGGGGTCAAAAATGGTATTTTTGGATCAAGGACTTCAAGTAGAATGTGCATATAAAATTTCACGTTAATCGGACTTCGTTTGGGCGGTCAAACGGGCGTTGACCACCGAGACAAGGGTGATACCCGACCGGGTAAGATGGATACCCGACCGGGTATTGATTAAAAATGGCTCCAGAAGCCACTGCCACACTAGACCCGACCGGGTAAGGTCATGGACCCGACCGGGTCTCAAGTAAAGTTGTTTCCAGGGGCTTCTGACCCGTCCTACCCGACCGGGTAAGGTGGATACCCGACCGGGTATTGGTTTATACTCAAAACGGGTAGCTTTTGAGTAGGATAACGTGGACCGATCAGGTGGGACCCGTCCACGTTGGTTACTAAGGATTATTATATGACTATAGGACTAGGTATTGTCCATAGTTAAGTGAATGAAAGGTTAGCCATATCCAGGTTAGGGTTTGGTTAGAAATAAGGGTGAGGTTGAGCATCCTCGGGACGGTAAATGATCCCAAAACTCGGTGAGGTTGAGTATCCTCGGGACGGTAAACAATCCCAGAAACTCGGTGAGGTTGAGTATCCTCGGGACGGTAAACAATCCCAGAAACTCGGTGAGGTTGAGTATCCTCGGGACGGTAAACAATCCCAGAAACTCGGTGAGGTTGAGTATCCTCGGGACGGTAAACAATCCCAGAAACTCGGTGGGGTTGAGCATCCTCGGGACGGTAAACAATCCCAGAAACTCGGTGAGGTTGAGTATCCTCGGGACGGTAAACAATCCCAGAAACTCGGTGGGGTTGAGCATCCCCGGGAGGGTAAACACTCCTGAAACTCGGTAGGATATTATGAAGGTAGAATGTAGCTCTCAAGCTAGGCATTCAGGAATGGAAAAGGGATAGGTTGGGAAGTACCTTATCTCTAAAAGACTCTTTGTGATAAAACGACCTACGGATCAAGTATTTTACAAGTATATACAGTATGTATTATCTTGGGAACGGGGTAACAACGGTTACACCTATAAGTATATGTATCACCCTATTTTTGGGTCTCGTGTCTGAAACATTAGTTATTCCTCATATAGCCTGCTTGTCACTAGTACTTCTATGGAGTACTGACCCCTTCGGGGGCCCTCACATTTTTCAGGTTGAGGCTAGAGTCCTACTACCTGCACCTTTGCCTAGGGTGATTGATCAAGGAGGAAGACGTGGTTCGTGCTTCCATTCTCATTTGAAATAATGCAACTGCTCATGGATATTTTTAACAATGTTTTCTATTAAAACATTTGGGGGGCCTGCGTGCCCGTATTTGCCACGTGTGGCTAAGTATCAAACATATCTTATTTTCCGCATTTGTTTGACTAATATATATTGATGTTGATTGTATGGGTTTACTAATCGGTTTGGCAAAAGAATCTAACGGACGCCTTGTATGATCTGATAAGAATGAACTACGTTGTTCTTATTGGGTTGTACGGCGGTTGTCTACGTGGCGCGGACGCGGTCCGGGGCGTGACAATTAAGTGGTATCAGAGCCAGGTTTTTCTAAACTATATAATTAACCTCTCAATATAGGATCATCAAAAAGTTTTGAACAAAACCATGAGCAAAAGTTTTTGTACTTAAGGAACCGTTGGAAACCAAATTATTGACCTCTTATTGTTAAGACGGTACCCTTAACAGTTTGTTGGCCATAATTGTAACACCCCCAAATTTCCCACCCAAAAATACATTTGAATAATGGTTTATTCGAAAACATCAGAGTCTTGCAGCGGAAAATTCAAAGGGAAACAGGGCGTTACCGCCACACTCGGTTCTCATATAACCGAGTGCACAGGCTATCCACCACCAACCAATTAAGATTTTCCAAAATTAATTGTTCAACTACAATTCTTTAAAATTAAGACTAAAATAAATTATTCAATCAATTTAGTCTATGTGTTCTAGCGGAAGCTCTCGAAATCAACTTCAACATGATCCTCAATTCCTGCACAAATAAAGTACAGAAAGAAAAACACAAAGAAACAAAAATTAGCCGGAAATGCTAAGTAAGGCCCACCCAACCCTGTAAAATAATCATGTTTGATACATATATATCATTTTGTAAAAACATTTGGGAGGAAACCTCATGAAACATTTTATACAAACTTCTCATCACAAAATCACATGAAAAATAATAATATTTCAAATATAGGTACATATTTCCAAATCATAATAATTTTAAAAGGTCAATATACATAAACCACCAAAATCCTCGTAATTATATTCCAAAACATAAATCATATGTAAAGCCCAAATATTCATCTCAAAATACTTCCAAATACTCATAATCAATATTCAAAATAACCATATCAAATCAAATTAATAAGTATTACTTTGAAAATCTACAAATAATTTAATAATCTCAACCACATCAAATTCAATCCAATCCAAACAAATATAACCTACTCAAATAATCCAATATAATGTAGTTCAATTCATCTCCATCAAGTCCAACCAAATAATCCAAATCATCTCAAGTCCAATCATTCAAACTCAACCAAATCCAATGGAAGCCGAACTCCTACCTTAAGTGTGCACACCCCCTAAAAGAGATTCCAAGCTCTCCGGGTAGTAAAAAGTCCGAGTAGTCGGGATTTTTCTACCAACTACTACAATTAAGCTGGGATGCTCCACTTTTGGGAGATCCCTGGTGGAATTAGACTTATAGTCATTACCACTCACCAAATCCACATTTCTCCGAGTACTCACAAAAAATCATAATCCAATCTCAATTTCAAGTATCATAACATAAATCAAAATGGATATGAAATCCAAATTCCACAAAATTATTCACAATGAAATTATTAACTCCAACTCATCATACTCAAATATTACATAAATAGTCCAAAATATAGGATACTTCATGAATAGCTCAAATCTCAAATCTCAATCCAATAACAATTCATATGTAAATTCAAATGCTCAAAATATCACTCAATATAAAAATACTCAAATCTCGAATATATATAATTCACAATCACAATTGATACGTAAAATCTCATTAACTATCATATACTCAAATGATCTCAAATAACTAGTCACAAATAAATTTATATGGGAAAAGCATGAAACTTGGTTGACATAGTACTTACCTCGAATCGTGATATTCATAAACGGGCTTCTACTTTGATCTTCTCCAAGTTACCTTCTAGAATATTAAAATTCTAGAATTAATAGCTATATTAATCCTTTGCTAACTATTATCCAGTTTAAAATTGAACTCTCTCACGATTACTCACTTGTATTCACCCAACTCAATTAGTTCATCCATAAACATCCTTTTTACATCATTTAATCTATTTTATAAATTATGTCTATTTCTATTAGCCAGTCCGTTTATGTAAACAAGTCCATTTTATAATTTATAGCTTGTCCACTTATAAGTTATAACCATTTATAAATTTATGCACAGTCAATCTATTTTATCTGCTTATTTTATTTTAAGCCCACTTAAATCATTTTCTCCTACTAATGTAATTCTTTCCGTTCTATTAGCCGGTCCAACTTAATAACAGTAAGGGTATTACATAATACGGAAAGACAACAGAGAAGACTCACTCGTCTTCTTCGGTGAATCGGCTCCCAGCTGCCGGCGAACGGCAACAGTCGCGGCGAAACAGCAGGGAATGTGCGGTGCTTGCTGCAACATCGTTTACTCTGGACGCTCTGCTCTCAACGTCAACTGCAAGTTAGGCCGGCGAAGATGACCCGGCAGTGCAGTCACTTCATCGGCTCCTCTTCTTCGATTGTATTGACGCTGAGGAAAGAGTCATCAGCGTAACGCAGCTTCATCGGCGACTGAAGATGGCCAACGACCTTTTTCCTTCTGGCGGCGACGGCAGCGTTCCAGCGGATCCTCCACTCCAGTGAGGCGGTAATGAAGAACAGTGCGTCTCAGTAGTCTTTCCCGGCGGCGGTTCCTCTTTCCTTGGACTTTACAGCTTAGCCTTAGCGCCAGTCTCGGTGGGGATCCTGGCGTGAAACAGGGAAACCAGTCCGGCGTGGAATACTCCAACTTGGCCGGCAGCGACTCTGGCGACTTCGTATTCTCTTCTCCGATGATACGTGGGTGCTGGGCACGGCTGACTCTTCTCTGGCGAATTCCTCTGGGCGAAGATAGTAGGTCGCAGAGTATAGTTGTCTGATTATAGTTTTGCAGGGTAATATATATGTATATATAAATGATTATGTAAATATGAGTATGTATATATGAGTGTGCAAATTGTTGGTTTTCTCTTGGTGCACACATGTACACGTAGCTAGCTTCCTTTATCATTTGTATATCTTTGGCCTCTTCCGATTAGTGATCTATCATTGTTGGTTGTTCGTATGTGTATCAGGCCCTATGTGAATAATGAATATGTATACTCGCACTCTCCAGATTCATTGTATGAAATAAGATACATGATACCTATATTATTGTGTAGTAGTATATCACAATCGTAGGCAGGTCACATGTAGTACGTACTACATTTACATTTGTATATTATCAATTCTTTTATTATTATGTATATATTTATCTATGAGCATGCATGTACGAAAGTATATTTTTTTTGAAAAGCCAACTCATTTTTATTTTTGAACACCTATTATTAACAGATAGTTTTGAATTACAATTGTTAAAATGACATTTTTATTTATTTATATCATAAGTATAATGTATCACTTGTTACAAAAAAAATGTAACTTTCGTTATTTAAGTCAAGGTCTTTTCTGGTCAACATAATTATTGTAAAAATGTCACTTTTTTATTGAAACATTTTTATCTTATTAAAAAAATGTCACCGATGTTAAAATTTTATCTCATTCGCTTAATTATTAAAATGTGACTTTCGTAACATTCTATCTGACTAATAAATTTATTTATTTTATTTAAATTTTCGGGGTGTCACATTCTACCCTCCTTATAAGATGCTTCGTCCCGAAGCATAAGCTAAGAAAATATCCACATGTACAATTAGCAGATATTACATCTTAGTTAATATTAAATGGTTTTTTTTTTTTTTTTTTTTTTAAGGAGTGTCACATTCTACCCTTCTTAAAAGAGTGCTTCGTCCCCGAAAGCACTTAATTTACTTAAGAATGTAGATTATTCATTTAAGATCAGAACAATACTTAGTCTTCAAACCGAGTTACTGATTTTGAAAATAAGAAATTTTATATGATTTTTGCCTACTATTTTCGGATTCTTCCACTGTGTTTTACATTCTTTTCATGATGATTGAGTCCACGAGTTGGAGGGATTCCCTTCTTCCTTGAATGACACTCGAACACCCTATGTCCCAGCTTGTCACAATGAAAACATCGTACGAGTGTTCCGTCACAGTATTTCCCAGGGTGATCTTTTCCACACTTCGAGCAGTAGAAGTGCATCTCTTCAGTTGAGTTCTTCTTCTTACGCTTCTGGTCTTGGCCTTGGTTGTTGATCTTGTTCCTGTTTCGGGTCTCCCCTGCATTATCTAGCCTTTGCCGTTTGCCTCCCTGTCTATTTTCTTCTTCGGTGCCCTTCCTTTCTCTCTTGAGTGTTTTCTTCTGGAGTTGTTGCACTTGATAGTGCTTGCCAGCTTTGTTGTAGGCATCGTTCAACGTTTGGCATTCTGAAATGCAAAGAGCTTTTTGTGTCTCAAAGTTCAGACCGCGTATAAACTTATTTGTTTTCTCGATTTCATCGAGAACTAGCGTGGGAGCAAATAGTGCGAGATTCAAGAATTTAGAGTGGTACTCTTGGACAGTCATGCCTACTTGCTTCAGATGTAAAAATTCTTCATACTTCTCAGCTCTCACGTGCTCTGGGTAGAATCTTTTTCGCATTGCCTCCTTGAACGTCTCCCAAGAAAAGTCAGGTTGTTGACGCAACGTTGGGGCAGTCGTGGCCCACCAATTGTCTGCTTCTTGACGTAGATAGTACGCAGCCGTATTAATTCGTTGATCTGCAGGGCAGTTTATAGCATCGAAGAGTTTGTCGAAAGTGCGAATCCAATCCTCAAGGATGAGAGGATCTTCTTGGCCTAAATAACACGGGGGATTGCGCTTCGCAACAAGTTTTGCTACATCATTGCGGTTTTTGAGACGTTGTTGGTGTTGGTTCTGAACTAACACACTCCCGATAGTCTGGATGAGTTGAACCATATTTTGAGCCAACTCCGCATTTGTCGGTGCGGTGATATTGCTTTCTACTTTGGTCTTCGTTGACTTCATTGTCGTACTTGAAATGTTGAGACACAAAGTATGTCAATGACATTCACATTTATACTACCTTACCTGATAAATCACTACTCACATAATTTGGTAAGTTCCTCTAAGAGTCCAAACTCATTCTCAAATGAGTCAATAATGATATATCTCATATAAGTATAACTCAAACAATTCAAACAACCACAGATTCCACCAAAATAAAAATTCAAAATCCCACATTCTCACCACGATCCTAAATATATATTATTTCTTAGTCCAATTATTATTCCTATGTTTTTTTTTCCTTCTTCAAAACACATTTAGAAAAGCGGGTTTCAACTTTTTTTTTTTTTTAAACATTTGAGAAAACCCCTTGTAAATTTTTAATATGTTTTACAAAACAAAATCTTTATACCAACTTGTTGGCCGATGTCACTATTTGGAGTTTTAGGAAATCTTAGAAAACCTTTTTTTTTTTTTTTTGAAAATCAAAATTTTAGAAAACTTTAATAACTCCTTTTTGAAAATTGAAGTCATTGCGGGAAAACTTTTATGCAAAAATCCCCATTCGAAAACCGTAACGCTCTGATACCAACTTGTTGGTATCACTTAATAGAGTTAAAAAAAAAGATCTGAAAAAAATGTTTGAAAATCCCATTTTAGAAAAGAAAAGGCTCTGATACCAATTTGTAACACCCCCAAATTTCCCACCCAAAAATACATTTGAATAATGGTTTATTCGAAAACATCAGAGTCTTGCAGCGGAAAATTCAAAGGGAAACAGGGCGTTACCGCCACACTCGGTTCTCATATAACCGAGTGCACAGGCTATCCACCACCAACCAATTAAGATTTTCCAAAATTAATTGTTCAACTACAATTCTTTAAAATTAAGACTAAAATAAATTATTCAATCAATTTAGTCTATGTGTTCTAGCGGAAGCTCTCGAAATCAACTTCAACATGATCCTCAATTCCTGCACAAATAAAGTACAGAAAGAAAAACACAAAGAAACAAAAATTAGCCGGAAATGCTAAGTAAGGCCCACCCAACCCTGTAAAATAATCATGTTTGATACATATATATCATTTTGTAAAAACATTTGGGAGGAAACCTCATGAAACATTTTATACAAACTTCTCATCACAAAATCACATGAAAAATAATAATATTTCAAATATAGGTACATATTTCCAAATCATAATAATTTTAAAAGGTCAATATACATAAACCACCAAAATCCTCGTAATTATATTCCAAAACATAAATCATATGTAAAGCCCAAATATTCATCTCAAAATACTTCCAAATACTCATAATCAATATTCAAAATAACCATATCAAATCAAATTAATAAGTATTACTTTGAAAATCTACAAATAATTTAATAATCTCAACCACATCAAATTCAATCCAATCCAAACAAATATAACCTACTCAAATAATCCAATATAATGTAGTTCAATTCATCTCCATCAAGTCCAACCAAATAATCCAAATCATCTCAAGTCCAATCATTCAAACTCAACCAAATCCAATGGAAGCCGAACTCCTACCTTAAGTGTGCACACCCCCTAAAAGAGATTCCAAGCTCTCCGGGTAGTAAAAAGTCCGAGTAGTCGGGATTTTTCTACCAACTACTACAATTAAGCTGGGATGCTCCACTTTTGGGAGATCCCTGGTGGAATTAGACTTATAGTCATTACCACTCACCAAATCCACATTTCTCCGAGTACTCACAAAAAATCATAATCCAATCTCAATTTCAAGTATCATAACATAAATCAAAATGGATATGAAATCCAAATTCCACAAAATTATTCACAATGAAATTATTAACTCCAACTCATCATACTCAAATATTACATAAATAGTCCAAAATATAGGATACTTCATGAATAGCTCAAATCTCAAATCTCAATCCAATAACAATTCATATGTAAATTCAAATGCTCAAAATATCACTCAATATAAAAATACTCAAATCTCGAATATATATAATTCACAATCACAATTGATACGTAAAATCTCATTAACTATCATATACTCAAATGATCTCAAATAACTAGTCACAAATAAATTTATATGGGAAAAGCATGAAACTTGGTTGACATAGTACTTACCTCGAATCGTGATATTCATAAACGGGCTTCTACTTTGATCTTCTCCAAGTTACCTTCTAGAATATTAAAATTCTAGAATTAATAGCTATATTAATCCTTTGCTAACTATTATCCAGTTTAAAATTGAACTCTCTCACGATTACTCACTTGTATTCACCCAACTCAATTAGTTCATCCATAAACATCCTTTTTACATCATTTAATCTATTTTATAAATTATGTCTATTTCTATTAGCCAGTCCGTTTATGTAAACAAGTCCATTTTATAATTTATAGCTTGTCCACTTATAAGTTATAACCATTTATAAATTTATGCACAGTCAATCTATTTTATCTGCTTATTTTATTTTAAGCCCACTTAAATCATTTTCTCCTACTAATGTAATTCTTTCCGTTCTATTAGCCGGTCCAACTTAATAACAGTAAGGGTATTACATAATACGGAAAGACAACAGAGAAGACTCACTCGTCTTCTTCGGTGAATCGGCTCCCAGCTGCCGGCGAACGGCAACAGTCGCGGCGAAACAGCAGGGAATGTGCGGTGCTTGCTGCAACATCGTTTACTCTGGACGCTCTGCTCTCAACGTCAACTGCAAGTTAGGCCGGCGAAGATGACCCGGCAGTGCAGTCACTTCATCGGCTCCTCTTCTTCGATTGTATTGACGCTGAGGAAAGAGTCATCAGCGTAACGCAGCTTCATCGGCGACTGAAGATGGCCAACGACCTTTTTCCTTCTGGCGGCGACGGCAGCGTTCCAGCGGATCCTCCACTCCAGTGAGGCGGTAATGAAGAACAGTGCGTCTCAGTAGTCTTTCCCGGCGGCGGTTCCTCTTTCCTTGGACTTTACAGCTTAGCCTTAGCGCCAGTCTCGGTGGGGATCCTGGCGTGAAACAGGGAAACCAGTCCGGCGTGGAATACTCCAACTTGGCCGGCAGCGACTCTGGCGACTTCGTATTCTCTTCTCCGATGATACGTGGGTGCTGGGCACGGCTGACTCTTCTCTGGCGAATTCCTCTGGGCGAAGATAGTAGGTCGCAGAGTATAGTTGTCTGATTATAGTTTTGCAGGGTAATATATATGTATATATAAATGATTATGTAAATATGAGTATGTATATATGAGTGTGCAAATTGTTGGTTTTCTCTTGGTGCACACATGTACACGTAGCTAGCTTCCTTTATCATTTGTATATCTTTGGCCTCTTCCGATTAGTGATCTATCATTGTTGGTTGTTCGTATGTGTATCAGGCCCTATGTGAATAATGAATATGTATACTCGCACTCTCCAGATTCATTGTATGAAATAAGATACATGATACCTATATTATTGTGTAGTAGTATATCACAATCGTAGGCAGGTCACATGTAGTACGTACTACATTTACATTTGTATATTATCAATTCTTTTATTATTATGTATATATTTATCTATGAGCATGCATGTACGAAAGTATATTTTTTTTGAAAAGCCAACTCATTTTTATTTTTGAACACCTATTATTAACAGATAGTTTTGAATTACAATTGTTAAAATGACATTTTTATTTATTTATATCATAAGTATAATGTATCACTTGTTACAAAAAAAATGTAACTTTCGTTATTTAAGTCAAGGTCTTTTCTGGTCAACATAATTATTGTAAAAATGTCACTTTTTTATTGAAACATTTTTATCTTATTAAAAAAATGTCACCGATGTTAAAATTTTATCTCATTCGCTTAATTATTAAAATGTGACTTTCGTAACATTCTATCTGACTAATAAATTTATTTATTTTATTTAAATTTTCGGGGTGTCACATTCTACCCTCCTTATAAGATGCTTCGTCCCGAAGCATAAGCTAAGAAAATATCCACATGTACAATTAGCAGACAACCAATCTGACAAAGAAGACAACCAAGTTCCAATGGAATGAAGATTGTGAAGCAGCATTCCAAGAGTTGAAGAAAAGACTCACAACTGCACCGGTCTTGACACTACCGTCAGGGACGGAGGGATTTGATATTTATAGTGATGCATCCAAAAGGGGGTTGGGGTGTGTGCTAATGCAAAATAGGAAAGTGGTGGCTTATGCATCAAGACAACTAAAGGTGCATGAAGTCAATTATCCTACCCATGACCTGGAGTTAGCTGCAGTAGTGTTTGCTTTGAAAATCTGGAGACATTACCTATACGGAGCACATTGTAAGATATACACTGACCACAAAAGCTTGAAGTACATATTCACTCAAAAAGAGCTTAACATGAGGCAAAGAAGATGGCTCGAGCTTATCAATGATTACGATCTAGAAATCCAATACCACGAGGGAAAAGCTAACGTGGTGGCAGATGCTTTGAACCGGAAATCTGAGCACTCATGCCGAGCAACATGGATATTACCAGAAGAACTATTCCGAGACTTTCAAAGATTGAGCTTGGAAGTAAAGCAATATGGCGAAGTAGATGGTGAAATACAGTCATGTACTATGACTGTTATACCATCTACCTTTGACGAAATCAAGAACGGACAACCGGGAGATGTAAAGCTCGAAAGAGTCAAGAAAGGAATGAAAGATGGCGTCAACGGACCATTTAAGATGCATGAAGATGGGAGCATCCGATACAAGGGAAGATGGTGTGTTCCACTGAAGTGTGCAGATATTAAAAAACAAATCATGGAGGAGGGACACAACACGCCCTACTCGGTACATCCCGGGGGAGACAAACTATACAAAGACCTCAAGAAGAACTTTTGGTGGCCGGGAATGAAGAAAGAAGTAGCTGAATTTGTATCCCGATGTTTGAACTGCCAAAAAGTCAAAGCGAAAAGATGCAAACCCAAGGGACTCGTGCAACCCTTGGAAGTACCAACATGGAAATGGGATTCAATCTCAATGGACTTTGTCGGGGGTTTACCTTTAACAAAGTCCGGGAAAGATAAAATTTGGGTGGTAGTGGATAGATTGACCAAAACTGCAAGGTTCATTCCTATGAATGAAACCTGGAGCATGGAGAAACTGGCAAAAGCCTATGTCAAACACGTGGTCAAACACCACGGAGTACCTCAAGACATCGTATCAGACCGAGATTCACGATTCTTATCCCAATTTTGGAAAGAATTACAAACGGCTATGGGAACAAAATTGAAGTTAAGTACTGCTTTCCATCCAACCACGGACGGACAGACCGAAAGAACAATCCAAACATTAGAAGACATGTTGAGGGCATGTGTTCTTGATTTGCAAGGATCATGGGATGAACACCTAGACTTGGTAGAGTTTTCGTACAATAACAGTTACCATGCTAGCATCGGAATGGCCCCATACGAAGCTCTATATGGTCAAAAGTGTAGGAGTCCCTTATGTTGGGGTGACATGGTCGATCAGGTGGTTCTAGGACCACAATACTTGCAAGATACTATTGAGAAAATCAAAGTTATCCAAGAAAGGATGAAGGCTGCCCAAGACCGACAGAAATCATATGCTGATCTTGGGAGGAAACCAACTGAATTCGAACTAGGGGAAAAAGTTCTACTCAAAGTCTCTCCTACAAGAGGTGTAATGAGGTTCGGGAAGAAAGGGAAACTAAGCCCGAGATTCATCGGACCCTATGACATCCTAGAGAAGGTGGGAAAAGTGGCATATCGATTAGCTCTACCCACGGAGTTGGATAAGGTAACAACCGATTTGAAATCAAATACTTCTCTACGATTAGAATACATTCTTAACATACCGATATATGCTAGGTACATAACGTCTTTCACGTATCACAATTAAAGAAGTATGTTCGAGATGAGTCACATATCATCAATCCGGAGGTAAGAAATCCTAGACTTAACATGAGCCAAACGTAAATTGAAAAGAATATAAGTTAACCGTTATATTATTAGGTGATTGAAATGGATGAGACATTATCCTACGAAGAAAAACCCATAGAGATTCTCGATACTAAGACCCGAGAGACAAGGAAGAAGACAGTTAAGATGATAAAAGTACTTTGGTCAAACCATTTGACCGAGAATGCAACATGGGAGACAGAAGAGGATATGCGTAAACGGTATCCTGAACTTTTCAATTAAGGTAAATATTCGGTTACGAGGACGTAACCTTTCTTTTAGGGGGACAGGTTGTCATATCTTATAAACCTATAATAATTCATCTTCATACTTAATTCGCGTCTTAGTTTATGCTTCGAGGACGAAGCATTCTTTAAGGAGGGTAGAATGTGATACCTTGAAAATTTGAAATAAAAATAAATAAATAAATCAGATAAGTTATATCTGATAAATCAAATGAAAGTAAGATCAAAATATTTTTTTTTTATACTTGGTGTATAAAAATATACGCACACTACATGCAATGAAAATTAAACACTTATGTGGCATCGGAAAAAAATAAAATAAAATAAATAAAAATAAAAATAAATCAGATAAAATATATCTGACAAGGTAAATAAAAATAAATATCAAAGTATTATAAGTGACATTTTGTAACATGTAATAATATACATATACACATAAAATGTAACTTGTGGATGACAATCATACACATAGGTGTTCACAATAATACAAATAGAGGTAATAATATATGCAATGAACTTGCGGACTAGACTTAGAATGCATTAGAACAACCAACATTTACACATGCATGTTCATAATACTATGTATAATAATATTGAATAATAATGAAGAAATAATTCAAACCAATCACTCCATGTATGATTCAGCCTAGAATGATCGATCTACAGCTATAAATACAGCTTCCTTCCCATTCTAAATCACCACAAAGTGAAGAAAACGAGTAGAGAATATATATATATATACTTACTCGCCGGAAAAATACACATATATAAATTTACGTAAGAAATTGCCTATAAACAAGAGAGGAGGGTCGTGAGAGGTCTAGGAATATTTCCCAATAAATTCCAGACCGATTCGTAGTCACCGGAGCATCCTAGAGGTCGCCGGAGTTGCAAGCCAAGGAAATGGGTCTTCAGCAAGTGCGGAAATTTGGCCGTAGATAGGGGTGGCGGAGCTTCTCCTCGACGTCAGGATCATTTTGCAACTTGAATCGTTTAAATCCGTTACCTGTAAGTAAAGTTATCGCTCGCCGAAGTTTTCGGGATTCCGGTCGCCGGAATCGCGACCTGGAGAAGCTGGGAAGGAGACAACCCAGTCTTCTTGGGCCGGGTCGCGAATTTGGGCCGGTTCGGCCCATTTTCAATAAAAAAAATTAAAAATAAAATAGTAAATGAAATAAATAAAATCTGGAAAAATATAAATTAAATACCTGGTATAAAAATACATATTCGGACCAAGAATAATTGAAAAATAATATTTGTAGCTATTTTTAATTGATTTAATTGTAATTGGGCCAAGTTGTACACATTTAGTAAATAATTAACTAAATGACGAAAATAATTATGAAATAAATATGGGTGCAAGCTAGATTAAATATATGACTAAATAGGACATTTGGGACCATTTATAATTAATAAAAATTATAATTAGCATATTTAATTGTAATTAAACCGGTTAATAGATATATGAAATTAAGTGAATAAATAAAGGAAATAATTCTAAAATAAATATCTGGACAACCTAGGTCTAGTATAGACCCAAACTATAGTTATGGATGATTAGTAATTTATAAAAGTGATGATTAAGTTATTTAATTTAATTAAGCCATATAAACTAGTTAAGTAATTAAATAAGGAAATTTTGATATTAATGGTGAAATAAATAAATCACTAAGATTGAAAATAATGTTCTGGACTAAAAATGATGTTTGTAATAAAATAAGGAAAAGAAAATAAAGTTGGGTTATCTAGTATAAATGAATGACTATATTTGGACTTAATAAATAAATTATTGAATTAGTTGACTAATTAAATTAGCGTGATTAAATTAATAATTATTATCCTTGATTATTAGTGATTTGGACTCCATATAAATTATTAAACTATTTGAACTCATAAAAATTAGTTGATGAATATAAACAAATTAATTAAGTAATGTGTACTTAATAAGTTAGTTAATTGACTTCATTGGACTAGTTTAACTAAATCAATTAGTTTAATGGATAAATTAGTTAATTTATAGACTTGATAACATCTCTGGACT